TTACTTGGACACATCCCATTGTAATCTATGGACAGGATGCACTGCTGTGCTGAGTACAAAATGTTCCTGTTAATGGCTGTAGTATATCTGCAAATGGCAACTGATCGGTCTTCCTCCATAGGGAATGTGCACTCATGGGAGATGAGGATGTGAAGTGTAACATACACAACCTCTTTGAAACCCTCCCTACAGGCCAGTGATTAGCTGATTAGCAATTCTTCCATGCATGCTGGTTCTTGAAAAGCGTCATTCAAACCAACCCTCTTTGGCAGTAATTTCTTGCTTGGTAACCTGCCCACACTTTTCTCTTTTGTATTTTTGGGAAGTTCTGTCTCCTGTGTGTTTCTTTGGCGCATTTTCTTGTTGTCAGCAAGCTATTATTCTTTTGGAGAACCTATTTATGCTGAGAAATTCAATCATTCTCAAAGTCCTGAGCAGGGAAAACTGCCTTAAAAATAGTATTTCATATGCAGTTACATTGTCATGCCATAAGTGTTCAATGTATGCTGTATTCTCCAGTTTATCCTTCCAGAACACTGAATCCCCTTGAAATATTTATTGGCATTGGTATGTAGATTATTTCCTTCACGTAGACTGTTTTAGTGTTAGGAAACTGGCACAACCAAAGAACCAGACTGAAAGAGAGTGAGCTTCCATAGCAGTGTTGAGTTTGAAGCCTGGATCCCCCAGATCCTAGGCCAACACTTTAACCACTATGACATGCTGGCATTTTGATACCACTTGTCTGAAATATATTAAATACTCAGTGCATTTTAACGGTCTCTTTTTAAGGATTGCCCTTCTGCTGCTTCATTTAGGTTCTCATATACAGTTTTGGTGGGTGGACCTCCAAGTACAGCTGTACTGTAACTGTAAAACTCCATGGCTTGGAACCAGAGCCTACTAGCAACACTCCTTCAGTACTTCTTGTACTTTAAGAGGGGATTGGATAAATATAAGCTTCAAGAGGGGATTGGATAAACATATGGAGCAGAGTTCCATCAGTGGTTATTAGCCACAAGATATAGATGGAACTGTTGGAATATGCAAGGTCTATCGTGCAAAGATAGAGAAGATGACAAGAACATCCTGCAGGGGCCAGCAGAGGGGACAGCTAGTTAGCATAGTAAGATTAGGGATTTCCTCCAGTTTTCAAATACTCTCCTTCCTGTCTCCTGATTGGCTTAGTTAGGTCTCCCTGAGAGCTATTATTTATTCAATTTATACCCCATCCTATCCCACTAGTCTACCGACTCCCTGCTAGCTATTTAGGCAGTTAGACTTCTTTTTCTCTCTCCTCTTTCTTACAAAGTTTGTTCTCTTCTTAATAAACTGACTTCATTCTTTAAACAGCTTGTGCTCCACTGCATATCTACACTCTGCCAACAGGAACACTATGTCTGGGGCAGTAATGCTCTGTATTCTTGGTACTTGGGGGGCCACAGTGGGAGGGCTTCTGGAGTTCTAGCCCCATTGGTGGACCTCCTGATGACATGTGGGTTTTGGTCACTGTGCGACACAGAGTGTTGGACTGGATAGGCCATTGGCCTGATCCAACATGGCTTATGTTCTTATGTAAAGTCCAATTAAATGGAAAACACCTCCCAGCAGATAATTGGTCTGATTATTCATTATAGCATAGGCATAAATCATGAGTGTTTGTAATAAAGAAGGGACTCTGGAAATAAAAGTCTGCACAGGATAGCAAGGTTGCCCCTGGTAACACAGATGTTGCTATACACTTTATTACTTATGGATCAAAAGTCAGTTGGTACACTTCCTCTGCATAACTGGAAAAACTGACTTTTGTGAATTTGCAATATTGAGGGGTAATGTAAGAAGTGGCTTCTTTGCTTCCAAATTGCTTCTTTGTTCTCCAAATAAAGATCTTCTAAACAGAGGGATCCAAGATTTTCTTACAATTTCTCATGCTTTTCAATTTCTCATGTTTTTTCTGTGTATTTGATCTTCTGTAAGGACACAGTCTAATACTCAGTAGCTCTATCCTATAAGCAAATGATCCCCCCCCTTTTTTGAAAATAACTTTTGTATGATTAATCTTGGAAATTCTGCAAAGGATTCTTATGTTTGTCTCAACCCAAAACTTCAGAAAAATACAGGTGGGGCATGGCAATCTACTTATCCAAAATTTATTACACTAGGGGAATGTTTACATTCTACCCTAGCCATGAGGGAGCTCCTTTCCATTGGGAAACAGCTATGGTTAGATTAAATGACCCATTCATGTGAGCGAGAGCAAATTATATGGGTTTTCCCCTTGGAATCGGCACAAATCAGTGGTGATTTAGTTAGGACATTTGCAGTTGGTACTTAACCTATGGAGTGGGTCATTTCAGTGTTACTCTCTCCCAGCAGCAAGGGTCGTGAAAAAGCGGGCCCCATGTCCTCAACCATGATGGTGGCAAGGTGGACAGGAACCATCACTTGAGAGGCTCTCACTGGAATGATAGTGGACTTGGAATAACAGCTGGAGACTTTGTGCCAGAGCCATGGGGGAGCAGCAGAGAAATGTGGCAGGGCTGCAGCAGTCAGGTGGAGGAAGAAGAAGCAGGTTTTCTTCTAGGTTCTCTATCCCCTGCCCAGCAATGAGTCCTGAAAATCATACTGCCTCTGAATCCAAGAGGGTTCCAGTCCAAGAAGTTTCCAGCCTTGTGTGACAGCATTATTGAGGATCAGAGACCAATTGAAAATCTAAGTGTCAATGTACGTGGCGTATTAACAGCAAACCCCTCTCCCTACAGCTTCTGGACATGTGCATGCAGAACTGTGGCCCGAGCTTCCAGTCTCTGGTTGTGAAGCGGGATTTCTGCAAAGACCGCCTGATAAAACTTCTGAATCCAAGGTTCAACTTGCCTGTTGATATGCAGGAGAAAATCTTGACCTTTATCATGGTGAGCAATTCCTTTTCTCCTTACGATTAAACTAATGTATCAGGGCAGTAAATATTTCATGATAACTATGCTTTGATGCATGGTGTAGGGGTGGGAGCTGGCAGCCAGCTTGCCTTTTGTTCTGTTTCTCTGTTCAGCTATGTGTGGATAGCTCTGAGAACAGGGCTATGGGGAATGGGGCAACTGCAGGCGAGAAGAGGCCTGTTCCTGCTGTTCTTCATAACTTTTTAAAAACCTTTAACATGCCAACAAAGATTGCATGCCTTTGTTCCTTGTGCATGCACATGCAATGACTTGTTTGTGCAGGGGGCTTATCTTGGGATCACAACCCTTTGAACTCATTGCTGTCCCTGACTGGCTTCACATATTGACGGTATTGCCGAAGTGGGAGCAGAAAGCATGCCACACACGTCATGTCCCTCTGTGTGTCTGTCTTTTCCTAAATAAAATGATCATGTCTCTCCTGACAGACTTGTGATAGGGGAACTGCATGTGCAACCCCCCACAGTGCAGAGATACGCAAATTCTATTTCAGGTGGAAATGAAGATGTGAAGGAAGAACAAGAGGCTTGTGCTTTCTGTCCTACCCTCCCAGCGATGCCGTCATTTCCCTTACAATACCATCCCTTTGAACACACATTCAAGGAGGGAATGAGAGGATGGAAGAATTAGACACCCAACCAGGGTCAGGGAAGCACTGACATCTCTGTTTTGTCCTGGGGAAAGTGACCGTGTGATGTGTGACAGGAAGAGGGGGAGCCAGAGTTATGACCTCACTGGTGATAAGGCCAGGACCACAGGCGGCAGACTAGAAGATCTGGGAACAGGAAACACACAATTTTTCCATCACTGTGTGACTGGGTCTCATCAGGCATGTAAAGTGAGAAAGGAGCCATGGCATCCATGTTTTCTGCGCAGCAGGTATTTCCAAAAGACAGCAAAAAAAAAAAAAGCAGCTATAGTATCACTCATGATTTAGTAGGAACACTCTGCACTACGACCCCCCTGAGGGTCCCAACCTTGAAGACCACTGGCCTAGACTGCTCTCCGGTAGGACCTGGTGGCAGCTCCCCTTCCTCACAAACACTTGGAGTCTCTATGGATACCTTCACTGTCGCTCCAAGGTTGTTAAATATAAGCATTTTTGTTTGCATTGTCAGTTTAAAGCATGTTCTTCCCAGATTTTGTGGATTGCTGCATACTACTTGAGCCCCAGTTTTAACATAGATGTGTCTTGGAATACATGTGAACACTTTTGAGGTTAGTGGCAATTCTTCGTGTTAGATCCCATGATCTGCGAATGCAGCCCAAGGGACAGGTCACCCGTGTTATGGTAATTCTTGCCAGCCTCTGCCAGGTATTTAGAGTAAAATTCGTCTTTGGCAACGTTGCGTCCGGTTTTTCAATTGCTTCAGCTTGACCGACACTGAGCTGATTGACACAGCAGATTTTGAAACAGAGAATAAAGTGACTATGGCATACCATAGTTGGAAAAGCCACTCTGGGATCACTTGCAGTTGTTCCCATGGCAGCCAGAAGATGATTGGGGGTCGCCACTAGAAGAGATGTTGGCTCTATTTTAGGGTTGGCTCTATTTTAGGGTTGTGGATAGAAGCAGGGGGCAGTTGGGGAGTGGTTGGGAAGATGAACAGTTGTCCGGTGGCCAAGGAGGAACAGATTCTACCCTCCAGCAGCCCCACGTTGCTTCAGAAGTCAAGGAGGTGGACAAGAGTAGACAAGCCGCAGTGAACAACAGGGAGAACCCTTACCTAAGCCCACTGGAACATTATAAGGAGGGGGAAACTGTGTGAAGTAGCAGCCTTCCCTGGCAGAGCATTTAGACATCTGTGAGACCTGTGTTGTCCATCTCCCGCAGAACGATGGCAGTTGGATGCCAAGTTCTATGTACATCAAGGACTGGGGTGTTACTGTCTGAAGTCCCCAGGGGATACTAGATTTGAGACCGGATTTTTTTTCTCTTCATAATGAGATGGTCTTGTGGAATTGCATCCATGTGATAAGATGACTTGTTAACACATCTTCGAGAATGCTACGTGACTAGCTTTTGTCCAACATTGTGAAAGACATTCTTGACACATATAGGGCAGCATTGGCACGTATGGCTGCTTTCACAAGATTGCCATACATAGTGGCATGAGCTGTACTGGTTTTATAACATGTTAGATCCTAAGTCCTCATGGTCCAGCATCACATTCTTAACAGTTGGATACTTCTAGGTTCTCTTTCCCCTACCCAGCAATGAGTACTGAAAAGCATACTGCCTCTGAATCCAAGAGGGTTCCAGTCCAAGACGTTTCTAGTTTACTGTCATCACAAACAGCAAAATGACACCTCATAGCTAATCCTCCATTAATTTCCTTAATCCTCCATTTAAGTTGTTCAGGGCAATGACCGTCACCACATTTTGTTGGCAATGGATCACAGAAGTTAATATGCACATTTTTTAAAAAAAGTACTTTCTTGATTCTACTACTCATGAACTTTACTGTGTGACCCCCCTCCCCCAAGTTCTAGTATTGGGGGGGGGGAATTCTCTCCACTTTCTGCATACCATTCATAATCTAATAAAGGGGGCATTAAGCAAGTGTGTGTTGGAGGATGTAATGATGGAATGCAGAGGAAAAAGCATGGGCCGGAGGGCAGCTGAGGGGTAACAAGATGGGCTATAGGGTGGGGATGTGGGAAAGGGAAAGTATTGGGGGAAGAAAGGTAAGGTAGCTTGAACCCTTTGTGAGGGGGAAAGTGTGGAGTATAAACATCTTAAGCAAATATACATGCCTGTCATGTCCCCCTTTCATCCCCCTAGTTAAATAGCCCCAAATGCCTTATTCTTTCCATATATGGAAGGCACTTCGACCTGGATTGTTTTGGATGCCCTTTTCTGCACCCTTTCCAGTGGTACAGTATTGATTCGTTTGTAGAAATAACCACAACTGTGCACATTGTTCCGAATGAGGCTGCACCATAGATTTGTACAGGGATACTACCATTTTGTTGTCAGTACCTTTCCTTATAATCCCTAACATAGAATTTGCCTTTTAATCTTTTCACTGAGCTATACATCATCCCTTTCATGAATAATATTGTTAGCAGTCAGCTACCATCCTGCAGATGGGTAGTTGGCATTCACAGGGAAATAAGACCATACACCCTTCAGATAAAATAACTCCAAATATCATCTCATACAAGACACTGTTTGGCCTGAAGGTGACCCTAAATGCCAACCAGGAAACCAGCTTGGGAAAAATATTTGCTAAGTGATTCAAAAAGCTGATTTGCAAAACATTCCTCTCACCCCAAAAAGTAATAACAATGGATTTCTTGAGGAAAACAGCACCTTCTTTTACATAACTTCTTTCATCCCCAAATCTGCTTCCCCTTGACACATTTACCATTGTTAGCATAACATAGCACCTGGAAAGTATTTCCCATTCTGTACATTGAGGGTCATCAAAGCACATTAAGAGCCATATCCTAGCTCCGGGAGAGCTATCTAGTTCTTATCAGTTCTTTGATTTCCCTCCAGGAGAACCATCAACCATTTGTTTCTGTTCCGGGGAACACATCAAGCCATATGTTCTTGGGACAAACCTTTTACATTGTCTTAGGGTACATATTTTCTATAAATACATGCACTCATACCTATAGTCTGTGTTTGCGTTCTCTACTTCAACACACATCAAGTGCTTGTCACTTTTCTCTTCCACGGACCTGAATCTTCAAGACTGGTAAATATAGCCTATCCTAAACACTATTTCCCTGCTACAACCTTTATTTCTTGGTTAGCTCTCGTATGTCTGAATTACTGTGTGTTCTGTATGTGTGTTTATGCTCTTTTATTTTCTAATAAAAACTGTATCTGTTGAACATCTGCCTGGTTTATTGAGAGTTCTCAAGGGAAGGACCCCAATATACAAAAATGAAGATCCCAATTTACCCTCCTCTTGCCAAGCTAAAATTCTCCAATCAATTAATTAAATATTAGACCATTTTGTAACAATATAGGATATCATAAATCAGGCCCTGACAAATTTTCTTGGTCTCTAGGACCCAGCCTAAAAAATTAGGAGCCAGTCTAGTTTTTATCCTTCAGGGTTTTGTATTTTAATGACCAAATTTTCTACTTATTGCTACAACAAAACCTAGTCCTAACCCCATCACAGTGTCTTCTAATTTTATAAAGCTTTTACAAAAGTAGTGTTGTATTCAATATAGGGTTAATTCTGGTTGTCATCATCACTATAACCATATGCTAACCTCTGTCCTTAACCTAATATCCTCTCAATTTCTCATAATTCCATTATTGATTTAAAAAGCTCCATTTAATTGAATACTGAAGCCAGTAGAGAAAACAACTAGTTAAAAAAATGAATGCTTCCATCACTATTGAATGGTGTAAAGTTAAGTTTACATATGAACAGGAATGACAAGAACTTAAAATCGCAGAATCGCTTAGTCCCCCCTGGCCCTAGGGACGCTAAGTTAACAGCGACGAGAACCAGGGCGTTTTCCTTAGCTGCACCAGTATGGTGGAATCAGCTCCCGAACGAAATCCGCACTCTGCGGGATCTCCACTAATTCCGCAGAGTGGTAAAGACTGAGCTATTCCGCCAAGCGTTTAACAGCCCAGATCAAACACTCTAGCACTTTATATGGACGGCCGCCATGTGCAAACTGTAATGCTCTAATTGTAGTTTTATTGTTAATAAGCTATATTGGCTGTTTTATTGATTATTTTTAGATGTACTGCATTAATCTTTACTGGTTTTTAATTGTTGTAAGCCGCCCTGAGCCGCTTCGGCGGGAGGGGGGGATAAAAATCTAATAAATAAATAAAATAGTAAATATGTTTTGTGTTGGATCCAGCCAGCTTTATCACTTAATCTTGGCCAATTCTCTTCCATTCCACATGGCTCTTGTCCATGCAGGTCCTGCGGATTCCAAACATACTTTTACAAGATCATTTCAGCAAACAAAACATAGAATCATATTGTGGTGACTTTTGCACTTTGAAAAATATTAGTTTGAAGCATCCAGTTTTGCTTCTCAGGAGCAGAAGCTCTCCACCCCATCCACCCCACAAAATAAAGAATAAACACTTTTCCTGGAGCAAGGGATATTTAAGCTCTGAGTCTTTTCTGATAGAAACAAATAGGAGTGTCGTGGCACCATAAAGACTAACAGATGTTTATCCTAGCATAGGCTTTTGTTGGCGAAAGCCAGCTTCATCAAATGCATGTAATAGGTCCTGACAGGCAAACATATACATAAGTTATGAAGGGGGGGGAAGTTGTAAGCAGCAGGATCAAGGAACCCTGAAATGCAGGGAATACAGACTAAGATGTAATTATTTAAAATATAGAAATAATCAAGAAAAGTACAAAGATAATTCACAATAGCTGTAATTACTGATAACATAATTGCCCTAGTTTTGTTAACCCTCTTAGCTCTTGCAAATTATTTTTAGTTGTCAAGTATTTGGGCAGAAAACTTCTTCATGTTTGATTGCTGTCTTTTCACAAACAGACTTGGGCCCGAGGATTCCAAGGTGCTGTGGATGTGAGTGAAGTCAAGGAGGTGTACCTGGAGCTTCTCAAGAAAGGAGTCGAGTTTCCAGCCTGTGGAATCCAGAAGGTACGTACTGCATTGGCAGACACTGTTTGGGAACAGGGTATGTTAACTGCAGGACCTACGTGAATACAGAAGGTGTGCTGATTAATTCCAGAATAATGCATGTTTGAAATAATGTTCTCCTTGCTCAGGAAACCAGTCATGCATTCTGCCTTGGAGCACTTAAAATCAGAGAGTGGGAGGCTCTGTTTTGTTAAACAGGAAGTGTAGCACTTGAGACTGCCCACGAGATCTGTAATCTCAGGTGGTTCTTCAGGTTAAGGGAGATTAAGTGTTCAAGTTACCTTGCAGGCTTGGTGAATCTCATCTCAGCCAAAATAAAAAGCAATATTGAACATGTGCAGGCAAAGTGCAAGATATATTTCACAGCTGAAATGGGAAGGGAAACTTAAAACAAATGACATGAGGAGAGTGCCCTAGGGTGCATCCAGTGATAGTATTTAATGCCGAGTCTGTGGGATCTACATCTACTGATTATTTTTAGACATTGTATTGTTTATTTAGCCAGACATCTGTGTCCTTGTGTTATTTATTTACAGAATTTATACCCCACATTTCTTATAAGGGCAACCAAGGCAGCTAACAGATTAAAAACATAAAAAATAAAATCACATCTTAAAGACCATTAAAAAGAAAAAAATCCCACACATCATTAAAACAATTAAACCAAAGCTTTTATACACACACACACATAAAAATTACAATTAAAATCTGGAAGAAGGGATCAGTGAAGGAACACCAAATGAAACAAATAAGTCGTTACCTACTGGCAAAACATAGCAACAGAAGGGTCTCCTTGGACAGAGAACTCTAGAGTTTTGGTGCCATGACTGAGAAGGCCCTTTCCTGGGTTGTCACCCACCTAATCTTAGAAGGCAGGGGCTCCTGAAACAGAGCCTTGGGAGATGACCACAGTGGTTGAGTGGGTTCATATGGGATTAGTCAGTCCTTCAGATACATTTGCCCCAAGTCATATAGGCCTTTAAATGTCAAAACCAGACCCTAGAAACAAATTGGGAGCCTGTGTAGATGGGTAAAGAATGGAGTGATATGATCCATATGTCCCCCTTCAGTCAACATCCTTGCTGCACTGTTCTGCACCAATTGAAGTTTCCAAACACTTTTCAAGGGCAGCTCCACATAGAGTGCATTGCAGTAATTTAATCTAGATGTAACCAGGGTAAGGCGCTACAGTGGCCAGATCTTTTCTGCCAAGGAATGGCTGCAGCTGGCTATCCAGTCAAAACTGGTAAAACGTACTCCTAGCCACCGCTACCACCCTCTCATCCAGTAGCAGGCCTGGGTCCAGGAATACCCCCAAACTACTGGCCTGTTCCTTCAAGAGGAGTGCAACCCCATCCAGGATGGACGAAACCTTAAATCCCAGTCAGACCATCCACTCATCAGTAGAACTTCTGTCTTATTGGGGTTTAGCTTCCAGAAGTTTTAAGTTTCACTGTTGTCAGTCTCAGTGATCCTCGGCCTTTTCAGACCCAAGGTGTTTGAAAGAACCTTAGGTATTAAGGAAGGGGGAGCAATGGGCACTGCTTCTCATGGAGCACTCCAGATAAGACATTTCAGGATGTGACTTTTTTTCAGGAATTGTAGCCCTCCCTGACTTGAAACCGTTGCCTTGATTGCTATATCCCCCCCCCTCCTTCCTGGGTTCTAATTCTCAAAAAGCCTTGCTCTGTATCCCTCCCTGGTTTAAAATAATAACCTTGTAATATACATTTCTAATATGTATTTACAGCCTTTGACTCAGACCTCCACGAAGGCATTATTGTTGCACAGTACCTCCAAGAATGGTTTGACAGGGTCCCTCCCTGCAGGTACAACAATAACACTGATTCCCGAACAGGTACGGTGCTGCAGTTCATTTGAAAAATACAAAAGTATGCATGTGTTGTTGTAACATCTTGGTGGATGGAGGGAGCCAGCCAGTTATTTGCAGTTGAGGGTGAGAGAGGGAGACCACTTTTGTCAAAGTGACACTAGCTGGTGTTGTCCATCCTGGTGGTGGTTGCCATGGTTTCTTCCATCTGTCACAGCAAGCTGCAAAAGTATGTGCATCTCTTTAGATGCTTCTGAGTCCCTGGAATTTTGGATTATATCCATGTGTATGCATGCACGTGTTCAGTTTATCAATACACCGTTGTATTCATAAAATGACTGTCTCATGAGAGAGGCAATCAGGCATTTTCTCTCTCCCCTGGTGGAATTTCAGTTTAGAGAAGAAAGGGCATGAGACTTTTCTTCTCATCATCTGACTGTGAGACATTCCAGAGATGTAATGTTGATGGCTTGAAAAAGGCAGAAGGCAAAATGTAGATTTAAGGGAGACATAAAAGTAATTGTGTTGCTAAAGGATCCTCCTCCATATTGTGGCAGTCTATATACTATTTTTTTTTAATGAATTTCTTTTTTGGTTGTCCCAAGTAAAAAAAAGATGCATTTTAAACATCCAAGACAAGAATGCAAGAGCATCCCTGCTGGATCAGACCAGTGATTCGTCTCGTCTAGCAGGCCAACAAGGTGTCCACAGAAGGCCCATAGGCAGGGTACAGAGGTTGAAGTCACCCCCTGTTGTTGCCCCTCAGCAATGGTATTCAGCAGGTTACTTCCTCTGAACAGGGAGTTTCCATTTAGTCATCATGGCTAATAGCCATTGAGGGAACTATTTTCCTATGAATTTGTCTAATCCTCTTTTTAAAGGCCACTAATTTATGGTCATCACTGCATCCTGTGGCAGTAAATTCCATAAGCTAATTACTCTTTCAGTGAAGAATTACTTCCTTTTGTCTGTCCGAAATCTCCTGCCTTTCACAAAGTATTATGATTTCTAGTATTATGGGACTGGGTGAAAATGTTCTCTCTGTCCATTGTGCCCAAAAAGGGAGGGGTGGGACGAACAATTTATTCTGTACACAACTGGGATAAAAGGTTGAATATTGTCCTGGGATTTACTATTCCAGTACAGCCCAAATAGTTCCACTGGGAGATGGCCTTTATCATAGCAGAAATTCCAGACCTACTTTCATTGTGTGGTCATCAAAAGCAGTATCTAATATTCCTTGGAACATTTTTGGTAAAGGTCGGAGATCAGTGTTTCTCCCACTACAGAGAAACACTTATTCTGGCCCCTGCCCCCAAAAGTTAAAAACTAATTTCAGTTCCATGTTGTCTAAGATTTCCTGGGGCTTGCCAACACCCCACAAGATTCTTTGTCACAATACAATCACCCACCTACCCTGCTGCACCGTGGTTTCCAGCAGGACCCCCCCCCCAAAAAAAAAAGTCTGAGCAGATAGGATCTAAGCTTAAGTATAAACCCTACCCGTAGCTGGATCGATAACTAAGGTGAACTTAAGGCCCAAGATGGTTTGATTTTTTAAAGTGACCCAGAAAAAAGTTAATTCAGAAAAAATATGCAGAACTGTGGTAAATATTAACACTCAACAGGAGTTGTGGAATGTTAGGCTTCAAAGTATACATGTCTCAGGAATACTTTCTCTCATGTAGGTTTATAATATATCAGGACAATACACAGCTGCAAGGAAATTGCACTCTAGACCCAGCAAATTCTGCTGGCATCCTGTAACACCTCATTACTCTCAGTTCCCTGGGCAAGGAAACTTATCCAAAGATCTCATATCTCCTCAGTTCTTTAATTCACACTCTTGTTAGACTAACCCTTCTGTCTCAATTAGGAGTGTGCAAAAAATCGGTATTTTTTGGGTTCAGGTATATTGAATCTGGAAAATATAAGTATTTTTCTATATTCCTGAATCCCAATATCAGTATGGCATTGGGATTCGGGAATTTTTTGGAAAATCCAAAATTTTTTGGCTCCATTTATACCCGATGGGTATCATGGAGAATCGATCACTCACCGAGTCACGGCATAGCAGCGGGGCTTGAAGGAGTAGGCATTTAAATAGACCATGGTCTCTTTAAATGCTTACTGCCTTCTCCAAGCACCGCAGCAGCGTGACTCAGCAAGTGAACTCAGACGGTATATGCCTTCTGAGTTCACTTGCTGAATTGTGTCACAGCAAAGGGGCTTGGAGGAGAAGACATTTAAAGAGACTGCAATCTCTTTAATTGCCTTCTTGGTATAGCTGAATGCACCCAAATAAAAGCTGAAAAATAGCCTTTTTGGGGGGTCAGCTATACCAGTAGCTGAATACAGATCTCTGATCTGCATTCAGCTTAAAAATATCCAAAAAATACTGGGAAGGGATACACTTACTGTGCACTGCTTGTCACAGACCTCCTCGCCCTTTAAGTCACCTAACAATTTTATTTATTTATTTATTTATTTATTTTACTTCTATCCCGCCCTCCCTGCCGTAGCAGGCTCAGGGCAGCTCACATCATTATTACAGGTGAGACAATCTCTCAGGTATAATTAGAATAAATTAAGTATGAAATAATACATAAAGTGCTAGCAATAACATATACCATGGCGGGAGTCCACAGTTAGCGCATGGTCTGGGTCATATCAGCGAGGCACAGGTTATTCAGTGATGGTAATGATATTATGATGTTGTTAATATTAGTGGTATTGGTGGTGTTGGGGCCAGGGCCTCAGATGGTTGCGGGTAGCATTCCTTTCTGTGCCTATTAAGAATTTTCATATTAATTAACTTGAATGATTTTTAATGGACTTGTTCGTTTATTAAAAACTTTGGGTTGATTCACACATACATGTGTGTATATCAGTACATTGTACTTTAGCACCTAATACTTGCGGCTGAATGTGTGAACTCTCTGCACTGAAAAGAATGTTGTTTTTTTAACTAATAAAACTATTTATACCCTGCCTTTCCCATAGATCAAGGTGGTTTACAACTTCAAATAAAAAAATACAATATAACTCTCCCCCAAAACGTTGGTGACAGTCACGCCTCCCCCATTACTACATAACCTGTACAGAGAGATATACACAGGCCCAGCAATCTCACAGAAGATTACATGCATTTAGTACTTTAGTTAACTGATGAAGTCTTCTTTGTTCTGCACCCAGTACCCTCATTGATTGGAGTGCTGTAGGGGGAGCAAGATTGTTTTTAGGAAAAGGGAGTTAAATTTAGTCTTTGGGAATCTTACAGCAGGGCCTTAGCTGCCCCTCTTAAATAACTCTGAAAAAACAACAAACGAGACTATCTTGGTGTCAATCTTAGTGGGTCATCCCCTTATTTTGTATTGTATTTTACTCTTTTGGACAGATTGGGAAGCTGTACAGTGAACTGGATATGGCAAAAATGAACGCGAGGGTCATGTCGGCAATACTGAAGGAAAATGTCCCTGGATCAGAGAATCCAGACGATATGGAACTTCTACAGGTACAGCATCCTTTTGGTGTCGCCATTGAATTGAAAACAGAGTGCATAGAATATGGAACCTGAACTGTCAATAGAACTGCATCATTGAAGTGTTATATATTTCAGCAATCAAATATCAATACCAAATGCAAGTTTTTACAAATGTAGGTACAGATTTGTCATGGGATAGCCAAGGTGATATTCAAACAAACAGCACTTTTAAAGGCCTTGTGTCACTGCTGAGTCCATCAAGCAAGGAGAGAGGTCATAATGAGGAAGAACAAACTCTCCTTTGTTGAGTGAATTCTGGTGATGGCCTAAAGGAAATAGGAAGAGGAAAGAGGGAAAGGAGCAAGCCTGGGAGTGGCTTGCTTAAAGGGTGTTCAAGAGAAAATCTTGACTAAGGAGAAGGCAGATTGGAAGCCTTGATGAGTGGGTAGATGCACTCCTCCTTCGCCAAAGGCCAGAGTTCTCAAAAATGTGATGCAGATCTTCCTGATGGACCAATCCCGTCACTGTCTCCTCCCAGTGCCATTTTTTGTAGTAGATGGTGATGTCGTAAAGTAGAGAGGTAAATCATTATTTTAAAATCAGAATAAGGGCTGGTTTCCTCATTCCTTTATGATGTGGCTACTTTTTAAAATACAAAACAAAACTAAGATCTACTTCATTTTATTTTTGTAAGCATTCCCAACATGAATTCACACACACACACCCTTTCCAATCCCCTTTGACACTTCTTAATGGAATGGTTTTTGCTGTGTCAGTTGTGTGGAGACAATGGTTGTGCTCTCATGTAATAAGATCTGGTATTTGAAGTTGCAGTCCGATGAAATAAATCACCTTCTGTAACAGATGGATGAAAATCAGCTCATAAACGAGGACCCACACCAAAAAGTAACGTGAGGGTAGAACCTGAAGAAAATGTGCTTTGTGAGCTGTGAAACTCAACTTCATTTAAATTAACTAATTATGCTGAGTTTAAGGATGCATCTGAAATTCTCCTCAACTGAATTCCTCCCTGGAGTCTATATTCTGAATTACCTGGTCATGTTTCTGAAGTGAAACCAATGCATTAGGAATTCTCCTTTGTTCTGTTTTTTTATTTCTGAATTTTGTAGAATGTCAGGCATGCCTATTTTGCTTTAGCTCTTTCATTGTATATGTAAATACTGCAAAAAAAAACCCTTGATGTGATGGTATTACAAGTTGTAATAGAGTTCTTTTATTTATTTTGTTATTTGTCTACTTTTTTTATACTACACTTTTCTCACCAAGGGGGACCCAAAGTGGGCTACTTACAACATTCTCCCGTTTTCCATTTTATCTTCACAACAACCCAGTGAGGTAGGTTAGGCTGAGAGTCTTCGACTTTCACAAGGTCACCCAGCAAACTTCCATGGAAGAGTGAGGATTCATACCTGGATCTCCCAAGCCCTAGTCTGACACTCTGTTACACCACACTGGCTCTTCTTTAGTTTGGTGATTTATCAGTGTACACACACAAGCATGTCCATATTAGTAGAACTCTCTAAGAAAGTTTGGTAACACATGACAATATGATTTCTTCAACTGGTCTTCTGCAGCGTTTGATCAGTGAAAACACATGGGTTGGTAACATGGAATGAAGAATGAGGGTAAAGTGAAGGAGCTGAATGAAGAGTTTTGCAAATTTGCATATCCTGTTCTGAAAGTATTTTTTTTTTAAAGCATAGTTAATTGTGGAGGCATGGTGGGGAGAAGTGGACTGGAGCACACAGGAAACTTTCAGAAAAATAGAAGCAACAGAATGGATGCTGGATCATCCCTAGCAGTGAGCTAGTAGGCATTTCTCTTCTCTGTACATTAGAATTCGTCTTTAGTCTGGCCAAGATCCAGGGGGCCTGTAATTAGTTTAAAGTAGCTTCCCGGTGCCTGCACTGTTGACTGGAATTGATTGAGCATGACTCATTGCAATCGGTGGTTTTGTGTATTACTGACTTAATGCTCTGAGAAGATAAATGGACTGATTATATCGTTCTAAGCCTAGTTACCAAATCCATCAAAGTATCTGGGACTAATGTCCACGTAAATGTGCTTGGAATCAGAGTGAGCTTTGTTTCTGGAAAGTAGTATGAGCGGGGTTTTTTGCTTTTGGGAGGTCAAGTACGGTTAAGAGTCTGTGTGTTGTTTTTACATATAAAGTGCAGGAAATATCTGAAGTGATGAATGAAATGCCTGAAATGTAGTGGATGCTAATAGTCCCAAATTAATTAGAATGTCAGAAAACTATATATATTTTCCCCATTTATATGTATCTACCCCCCCCCATTTTGAGAGCTGGCAAGGCATAGTAGATAGTGTTGGACTGAGGAACTTGGAAGATCTAAGTTCGAATTCCCACTTCTGCCATGGAAGCTCATTGAGTAACCATCACAAACTCTAAACATGACCTACCTCACAGGGTTGTTGTTTCAAAAGAATGCAGGAGGGAAGAACAGTGTTCTAAGCTGCTTTGAGTCCCGGCTGGGGAGAAGAGTGGGATATAAATGAATGCAAAATGTGTGGTGTGTGTTTCAAAGTGAGGGATTCTTGCCTAAGCTCCAAGTGGCTAAAACTACAGCTCCGTTGGTTGTTCCCACATAGTCCAGTTAGAGAGAGTGTTGTTGAGTAAGGATAAACACTTTAATTGGCATGTAGCACAGACCTTTCCCAGAGCTTCTCTAAGGTTCAGGCCTGAGGTGATTTGAATATTATTATCCAGCCCTGGGGCGGCACTATCAGATGTTCCCAGGGCCGCCGCCGCCACCAACACTAGATTAATTCATGGAGGAGAGAAACTATAGGTTGGATCCTATAGTAATGCAATTTGTGGAAGTGGATTTTGCCCCTTCCCCACTGCAATCCCCAATTCCCCCCACCCCACCGCAAACCGCTGCTTGTGAGATTTGGTACGTGCTCGGGGGACAGCGTGAGATGAGGCAACCAGAAGGGGGAATTGACAGGAATCATGGTCTCGTCTCTTGTGCAAACTTTTTCCATGACTCATGGGAAAGTTGTGTTTGTATGAAGGGGGTGAAATCACTCCTTCCTGCTTCTTCCATCAACGGTTCTGATGGCAAAAGAGGCGGGAAGTGTATTCTTGCCCCTTCCTCCTCTTTGTGGCCTGCTGACTTGCATGGCTATTACTCCAGGCAGCTCCTGTAATCCTGGGAACCAGCTTTACTAGGGTCAGAAATGGCTGCTAGAGGGATGGGCAAGTGGAGAAGACTAGCGACCATCCACGTATTTCATGACTGATCACTGGATCCAATCCTATGTCTGTATAAATCTCGGCAGTGGCTTCAGTGATGCCGGTATCCTCTGCCGCTTTTCCAGGCTGCTCCCTTATATGTTTGCATCTTTTGTTTGCACTGTCATTTCACCTCCGAAAAAGAAATTCAAGCAGCATTTGCTCCCTTTTGGAACTGCTTCTGCTATTAATGCTCCCAGTCCCTCTAAAAGTGACGCTTCTGAATGTGAACTTACTGCCAAAGCCAAATTCAGACATAGTTTTGTTTCCCGAGACAGTACAATCAGAATGCCAGGGATGCATCTCTGCTATTGTTCCATAAACAAGCATCCTCTGTATGAATAATTTGCATGGATTTTGGGGGGAGGACCAGTGGGAGGACTAAAACTAAAGGTAATTGAGGTGGGGCTTGTGGATTTCATTGATGACCCACCCACGTTTCCCACTGCACAATTCAAGCATTGCTTCCATATCTGTTGCTTTTGCAAGTCAAATACCAGTGGAAAATATCTCGGCTTTTGTCCCTTGGCAGAAGCTCTATAAGACGTGTCGAGTAATGCAAGAGAGGATCATGGAACTGCTAGCAACAGTGCAGAATGAAGATGTGATAACTGAATTAATACAAGTGAATGAAAATCTGAATAACGTCCTGTTGGGACATGAAAGGTAAAGCTGTTCTATACATGCTCTTATCTGTTGTCTCCATAGCCACCAAAGTTTGCCAGTGTGTTGTTATTACTGAACTGACTAAGGTCGGCTCTGGGTGTTGTTTGGCCTTTGGGGAGCGAGTGTTGATGGGCCCTTAATCACATGCGCTTCATCCCCTGCCCACCCTTACTGTGAGGAGAAACAAAATGACAGAGTCAGGTGATTGTGTGGTTATTTGAATGTGAAATCTGATCCTGACCACAGTAGACCAAACCTTCTTCAAAGAGCACAGAATCTCTCATTGAGTTCCTGGATTTCCCCCTGCTCTGATATCATAGGAAGAGCCATGGGGAGGGAGCAGGTAAGCCCTGTCATGCTCCTGATCTCTCCCAGGGACAGACCCAGGAGACAGGTTCCAAATGTCTTCATGTTCTACACCTCTGATATGATTTTCTGCACGTGAGACAGCAGGAGGTCTTGGCAGATGTTAGAGTCCTCCTCGTGGCTATAGACTCTTCTCTATGGGTCAGATTTCGGCATGTCTCAAGAAGCAGACAATGCTTTTCCACCAGAGCTCTGCTGTGTTTAGATTCCTTGAAACAGGCAAGTGTAGAAACCATTTCCCCTCCATTGCTAGTTTACGAAAGAACTGAGAGCATAATGTACTTGCAAAGTATTTTCAAAGACTGAGAGGTTTTAAACTGTCTCTTGCCTTGCCATTATGTCGATGTGACAGGCATCATGTATCCAGATGCCCTTTCTCACCAACCAAAGTTGGAGGAAAAGTTCTAAGAGTAGCTCAGTTACCTTACATGGAAGATAGGAACATGCCTTTACATATTGTAGAAGTGTTAAAATTATGCTTTGACCCTGCTGCATTTTGGCATTTCAAAGATCCAGGTGGCTGCTTGTAGTTTCTAGAGATGATTTCTGCGGTATAATGATAAAAAACGATACAATTCCTACAGATAGAGCTTGCACTCAGAATTCAAATTCTGAAATGAGATTGGAGCAATTGCCTGGATTCAGATGGTGTCAGAATTGGTTACAGCATGACAGTTTTAAGCTGTGTGTCATGAATTTGGCGACTCATTCCTAAAAATGTTTGCAAGCCTGTTTCTGTTAGTCACCACTTCTGAACCTATGAGCAGATCAACTGTCATTTCTTAAATGCAGCGCCAATTGGGTGCAGGGTTCTTTTTGTAGAAAAAGCCCAGCAGGAACTCATTAGCATAATAGGCCACACCCAACAGCAGGGACTCATTAGCATATTGGGCCACACCCCTGACAGCATAGCACATTAGGCCGCACCCCCATGTTACCAGAAGTGTAGTCATCCAGCCACACCCACCTTTTGCTTGTTATTCTGTTTACCTTGTTTGTTGTCAAAACCCAGGGCTTTTTTGTAGCAGGAACTCCTTCGCATGTTAGGCCACACACCCCTAATGTAGCCAATCCTAATGAGTTCCTGCTGTTGGGTGTGGCCTATTCTGTTAATGAGTTCCTGCTGGGCGTGGCCAACTTGGGAGCATTCTGAAATGAGATTGGAGCAATTGCCTGCTGCATTTTGGCATGTCAAAGATCCAGGTGGCTGCTAGTTTCAACTGTCATTTCTTAAATGCATCACCAATTGGGTGTAGTGGTTAGGAGCGCAGACTCTAATCTGGGAGAACTGGATTTGATTCCCCACTCCTCCACATACAGCTGTTGGTGTGACCTTGGGTCAGTCACAAGTTCTCTCAGAGTTGTTCTTTCAAGACCAGTTCTCTCAGAGCTCTCTCAGCCCCACCTACCTCACAGGGTGTCTGTTGTGGGGAGGGGAAGGGAAAGGAGATTATAAGGCGCTCTGAGACGCTAAGTGAAGGGCAGGGTATAAATTCAATTTCTTCTTCTTCTTCTTCATGGGGTGGGCCACAGCTATTGAGATGGTGAGCAAATTCTGTTTTGCTTGAAAAGAACTACAACTCAGAATGCCTAAGAATCCATGCAATTGCTCCAATTTCATTTCAGAAGAACTCCATCTTCCTGTGCTGCTTCTTTTCTGTTATAGTCATTTAAGGCTGCCAGCCTCCAGGTGGGCTTGGAGATCTCCAGGATTTACAACTGACCTCCAGGCTACAGAGATCAGTTCCCCTGTAGAAAATGGTTGCTTTGGTGGGGGGACTCCATGGAATTACACCTTACTGAGGTCCTTCCCCTCCCCAAATCACCACCCTGTGTCTACCAGAATTGGGCCTCCAGATCTCCTGATTCCCCTCCAGGAGTAACATAACCCCTTCCTGTCTTTCTATACATGTTTGTCATGGCTCTCCTGCAAGGAGCTCAGAGTAGCACGCATGGTTCTCTCTCCTCCTCTCCCCCATTTTGTTTAAACAGCAAGCTTGTGGGTTACGTTAAACTAAAAGAGACCAATTGGCCCAGAGTTACCCAATGAGCTACTTAGCTCAGTGTAGAGATGTAAAATTTCCGGAAATTTTCAAGCTCGGAAAAAACCCCAGTTTTTTTCCTGTTTTTTTCCGGGGGAAAATGGAAATTTTCGGAAAAAATGGGGAAAAAATGCTACATTAGCATTTCTTTTGTCTTTTCTAGATTTAAAGGCATTCTGTTACTTTAGGAACATAAAATATGACTATGGACATTTTTACTTGGCATGAAATTATCATAACTAGCATATTAAAAATATAGTGTATCCAAACAATTATTACAAACAGAATACCCATCCACATGCAAAAACAAAACTGAAACTTTTTTATTTTGTTCTGACAATCGCACCTCCTAAAGGAAGAAATGCATCTTGTTCTTGCATTGGAGAGTTCAGTTTGTAACCTAGGACTTGCTTGTCCTCAGTGCACAGAAATTAGATCAATCTGATACCATATATATATATATATATTATAAATGATTTGGAAAATATTTGAATACCTTGTCTTAAAATATTTTATTCATCATGTTAAAATAAAACATTCCATAATCAATTTTTTCTTTTCTTTTCTTTTTTTCCGTTTTTCCAATTTTTCGGAAAAAAACAAAAAGGCTTCAGGAAAAAAATGGGTTTTTTTCCAAATTTTTCCGGTTTTATTCTGGGCCTTCACACCTCTAGCTCACTGGGAGTTTGAACCTGACACTGTAAACATTATACAGCATTGCCTCTGCGCTGTATGTATTTAAATTGTTACATCCCATGCTTTCAACCTTTCCAGGTTCATGAAGCAGCTCATATATTAAAAAAGAAAAAAATACCTTAAACTGGTCAGCCAACAGGTAGAATTCTGTCCTCTTTAAGATCATTGCTTGTATTTCATTTGGGGGAGAGGAGTTGTTGCTAGTCTTCGAAAAAGTTATTTTAACCTAGTCGCAGGAACAGATACCTATTATTTCACAATCCACACAAGACAGGGACTCCATTGTTGCATTGGTATTTCCTACACTTTGTTTCCTTGTTCTAACATCCATGGCTTGTCTTTTCTCATGCCGTGCCCCAGATTATGTCATGTTAAAGCTACAGAAACTATTATCTGGGATCTGTGACTGGACAGAGATCCCAATCAACCCAGCAGGGGTACTATAAAAAGCCCTACTCTGTGTTGTCACTCATCTTTTTAAAAGGTTCAAATGTAATAGTACTGATTATTTGTACTAAAGTACCTAAAGTTATCTTTATCCATCTTTTTTCTCTACCCTTTAGTATCTTTGAGAAAGAGGGTGGAAAGAGTTACGCTTAGTTTGTTCATCATAGCTATACGACTGGCTTTATTATTTTTGTACAGGTTCTCTAGAAACAGAGTCCGCTTCCTGGAGAATCAAAGGATTCAAAATGAACGCACAGCAGTGAGTAAATAACAGTCATTCCTGCAGAACCAGAACAGCTTTCTCTTGTCCAGACAAACTTCCTTAAATCTCAGCTACGCTCTTTGGTTTGTTGATTCATTTATACATTGTTATGTTCTGTGGCTCCCAAGTCTATACATGTTTACTGAAAGTAAATCCCATTGAGATCAATGTTGCATACTCTCAAGTAAGTATGCATAAGGTTATAGTCGCCTTGATTCATTATATAATATTCAAAGAGGAAGTGTCATTATTTCTTCAACCTTAAAAGTACCCAAACATGTTGGAGGGAAGAGATTCAAGCACAGTTCTATAACTTAATAGATCTACTTCTGAACCTTGTTAAAA